GTCACCATGGATACACCTACAGAGTATAATAAGAAAGAACCTAGTGTAACAAACAAAGTCACCATGGACACATCTATACAGTATATGATAAGAAAGCACCTAGTGTAACAAACAAAGTCACCATGGACACATCTATACAGTATATGACAAGAAAGCACCTAGTGTAACAAACAAAGTCACCATGGACACATCTATACAGTATATAATAAGAAAGTACCTAGTGTAACAAACAAAATAATAACACCCCATAACATAATTAGACAAAAAGGTCCCCACTTTGAAAGGTCTTGTTTACCTGAACACAGTTCTTATTGTCACATCCATTTGACCTTAGTTGTTCCCGGACCTCCAGGGTCACTTGGCGTGACTGAACGTATAGCCTGTATAAAGTAACATACAGATAATTAATCAATAATATTAACTGGGGAAAACCTGCAAAGGGGCGAGGTGTACTCAGAAGTCGATACCTTCATACTATTCTAGCTATATCATTGTTGTCTTGGCAAGAAGTCTGATACCTTCATAACACTAGCTATATCATTGTTGTCTTGGCAAGAAGTCTGATACATTCATAACACTAGCTATATCATTGTTGTATTGGCAAGAAGTCTGATACATTCATAACACTAGCTATATCATTGTTGTATTGGCAAGAAGTCTGATATCTTCATAACACTAGATATATCATTGGTGTATTGGCAAGAAATCTGATACATTCATAACACTAGATATATCATTTTTGTCTTGGCAAGAAATCTGATACATTCATAACACTAGCTATATCATTGTTGTCTTGGCAAGAAGTCTGATATCTTCATAACACTAGCTATATCATTATTGTTGTCTTGGCAAGAAATCTGATACCTTCATAACACTAGCTATATCATTGTTGTATTGGCAAGAAGTCTGATATCTTCATAACACTAGCTATATCATTGTTGTATTGGCAAGAAGTCTGATATCTTCATAACACTAGCTATATCAGACTTCTTGCCAATACAACAAATGAAGGTATCAGACTTCTTGCCAAGACAACAATGATATAGCTAGTGTTATGAAGGTATCAATAGCTAGTGTTATGAAAGTATCAGATTTCTTGCTAAGACAACAATAATATATCTAGTGTTATGGAGATATCAGACTTCTTGCCAAGACAACAATGATATATCTAGTGTTATGAACGTATCAGACTTCTTGCCAATACAACAATGATATAGCTAGTGTTATCATTGTTGTATTGGCAAGAAGTCTGATATCTTCATAACACTAGCTATATCATTGTTGTATTGGCAAGAAGTCTGATATCTCCATAACACTAGATATATTATTGTTGTTTTAGCAAGAAGTCTGATATCTTCATAACACTAGATATATCATTGTTGTCTTGGCAAGAAGTCTGATATCTCCATAACACTAGCTATATCATTATTGTTGTCTTGGCAAGAAGTCTGATATCTTCATAACACTAGCTATATCATTATTGTTGTCTTAGCAAGAAGTCTGATATCTTCATAACACTAGCTATATCATTATTGTCTTGTCAAGAAGTCTGATACATTCATAACACTAAATATATCATTGTTGTATTGGCAAGAAGTCTGATATAAAACAAAGTGATACAACAAAGTGATAAAACAAAGTGATACAACAAAGTGATAAAACAAAGTGATACAACAAAGTGATAAAACAAAGTGATACAACAAAGTGATAAAACATAGTGATAAAACAAAGTGATACAACAAAGTGATAAAACAAAGTGATACAACAAAGTGATAAAACAAAGTGATACAACAAAGTGATATAACATAGTGATAAAACAAAGTGATACAACAAAGTGATAAAACAAAGTGATAAAACAAAGTGATAAAACATAGTGATACAACAAAGTGATACAACAAAGTGATACAACAAAGTGATAAAACAAAGTGATAAAACAAAGTGATACAACAAAGTGATATAACATAGTGATATAACATAGTGATAAAACAAAGTGATACAACAAAGTGATAAAACAAAGTGATAAAACAAAGTGATACAACAAAGTGATACAACAAAGTGATAAAACAAAGTGATAAAACAAAGTGATACAACAAAGTGATAAAACAAAGTGATAAAACAAAGTGATACAACAAAGTGATACAACAAAGTGATAA